TTTGAATCCCGGCTTAATAATTTAGCGAAAACACGAAACATTTCGGTTGAATCTCGGCTCAGTAATTTAGTGGAGTCTCAAAACACATTGGGTCAAAACTCGGCTGAATTATTTAGCGAAATCTCAAAACGCTCTGGTCCGGATCTTGATTTAATAATTTTGCGGGAAATCGAAACATTTCGGTTAGTGTTTCGGCTTAATTATTTTGACTTAATAATTTATTGTCTTTAATTTGTCGTCTTGTCAACAATAAACGCGTATGCATAAGAGAATTTCTTCGAAGAGATATTATGTCATAATACAACATAACAAGTTCTAAAGTATATTAATCAAATAGTGTATATATATATATATATATATATATATATATATATATGTAGAACATAAAGATAGCATATATAACATATATATAGAGCAGATAAATATGGCACGTTGAAAGTATCTGTTTAATGTGTCATCAAGAAACAATCCGACGAGAAAGAAGCCTGCCGAATTAAAATTTCAATTGGTCATTATCATGCAACAATGATCCAATTAAAAAAATTAAAAGATTTTATCAATGAATACTCCATTCACATTTTTTTTAAACCATACAAAAATATGCAAGTCTTATAAATGCTTGAAATGAATTAACAAATAGTTTTTTTACCAGTCGCGTCTTTTTGCACATTTTTCTAAGAATTTAGCTAATCAGTACTCTTAAAGAAATGGAAATGCTTGACTCGTTGAACTATTGCGAGAATCTCAGAGCTAAATTCTTTTGTTGGATCATTCTTACGTAACTCTGGCGAATTGCAAATTCCAATTCTTACTTTGCTTCCCGTCGGACCCAATGCGATTTATGTCTACGTGCATGCAATCTACGTAAAGACGCTTTGAGTCTACTATATGAGCGTCTAAATTGAGCGCTCACCATTGCGCGTCGTCCCACGGTGTCCAGGGTCCACCAGCCATCCTGTCACTGTATCTGACACTGCAATTGTCCTCGTGTCCCACGTCGCCTGTAATTCACTCCGACCGCGGTAATCTAACGGAGGTTTTACGGAAAATCCCGTTTCTCTTGGGGGATACACTCCGAGTGCGAATTGCGAATTACGTATGAAATATCATGAACTGCGTCTTCGAGGAAATGTCGGCCTTTCGGATAACCGACGAGTAGGTGCAACGAATTCAACAACGGTTCGATCGAGTTGTAGTGCATCGCTTTGATACACGCGCGATGCGAATCACTTACGAAGAAAACGGAATCCGTAAGCGAATAGAACATGCGACGCTAAGGCCGATCTCACGAAATTTTTCGACGCGTGGGCGAAGTAATCTGTGCGAGATTCTCACGTACAATACGAAATATCCCTAATATAACGTTTCGATGATGCAGCAAGTAAGCTGCAATACAGCTCCGCAATACTTTTGCGAAGACAATTCCGCAATATTTTTGCGGATAACAGCTCTGCAATACTTTTGCGAAGACAATTCCGCAATGCTTCTGCGGATAATAACTCCGCAATATTTCTGCGAAGTTCGCTCGCGATTCTTCCGCAAATACGATCCGGTGAAATTCGCAAACCTATCAAATTAATAATCGCGAACGCGAACGTGAATGAAAAATAAAAAACTATGAAAATTGTGACGATAGAGATAAATATTCTATTCAAAATTCACGCGAAAAAAATGTTATCGCGTGAGACGTCTATCTTCGTTCGATGGAACTTGTCGCGTGCCACGTAAGTAAACAACTGCTCGCACATCTAACTTGTGTACATCGTGTTTTTCGCGAGGGATCAACGCTTGTTAGCATTGTCTCTATTGTGTCCCGCGTTAGGAAACTCTAAGTGAAAAATTGAAACTTGAAAATTTTCCGACGATCGTGAAATTAATTTCGCGAGCAGTTTAAGTAATCACGTTAGATCGCTTCGCGCAGATGCCGCACGATATCGAATTTTATTTAATAACGATTTCTGTACTTTACGAAATGCAATCGCGAGCTCACGCGAAAGAGAAAATTGAGAAAATTAACGACCGGCGGAAGATCTATCGAGGCGGGTGATGTGATTGCGCATTTTCTGTAGCGCAATTTCTGCGCGTTGGCGTACTGATCGAGAA